CCTCTCTCTCTCTCTCTCTCTCTCTCTCTCTCTATATATATATATATATATATATATATATATATATTATTACACATATATATGTATATATTATTATTGTTCTATAGATGTATTCACTGAGACTGGATTTTACAGCTCTGCATTTGATTGGTTGTGGGTTTCTGTAGTGATATTCATCTGTTGAAAAGAGAGGCTTCCTTGATGAGGGGTGAGGACTACACTTATTTGTGGGTATAAGAAGAAATATTTAAATGTAGTTAGAGATTATGCTGGTGTAGTAAAGTGGTAATTGTAGGTTCTCCTCCAAAACCCATTATACATATACATATTTATATATATACTATTTATATAATATGAATAATATATACATCTACAGAACAATAGAATCCATAGGGTTATTTTTCCATGCTGATTATTTTTGTGGCTTATAGACATCAAAGCTGAATATGGGGAAGACTGTTGTTTTCATGTCAGTTTCTGCCTTGAATTCTTGAAGTAGACTCTTTATGGTACTTCCTTGGAATACTTAGGACTATCTTGAATGTCTGTCCTATTCTTTAAAGAGTAGAACTGGTAATTCTCAAGTTTTCTACAGGCTGACACTAGGCTTCTGAAAAATATATTGAAGTTTTAGACAGGCCATCTGAAATTGTTGTCAGGCAAATATATCATGAAATATAAAATATTTGACTATTATCTTAGTTAAGGTTACTATTTCTCTGATGAAACACCATGACCAAAAACAAGTTGGGGAGGGAAGGTTTTATTTGGCTTATAACTCTACACTCATAATCTATCACTGAAGAAAGTTGGTACAGGACCTCAAACAGGATAGGAATCTGGAGGCAGGAGTTGATGCACAAGCCATGGAGGGGTGCTGCTTATTGGCTTGCTCCCCCTGGCTTTCTCAGTCTACTTTCTTATAGATCCTAGAATCACCACTAGTACAAGGGTGGCCCCACCCACAATGAACTGAACTTTTCTACATCAATCACTAAGAAAATGCTTTACAGACTTGCCTATAGCCCAGTCATGGAAACACTTCTCAGTTGGGATTCCCCTTCCTCTCAGATAACTCTAGTTTGTGTCAAGTGACATAAAATTAGCCAACATAACCATTGTCAACAAAAAATTTGAAACCTGTGTTTCTGTAAGAGTTATTTTGTTTTATTTGTGTCTGTAAAGATTGACTCCTGGGCCTTGCACATTATAGGATAGTGTTCTACCTGAGATATGGCCTCAGATTCCTGTGATTTAATGACATTAGCCAAAATACTCAACAGTGGGGAGATAGATCCTGAAGAAATCACCTCCAGTAGATAAGCATGGCTCCCAGTGGAGGGATGGTTCTACTCATTCATCTCAAAAATTTTAACCCAGAATTGTTCTTGTCTAAAGGAAATGCAGGGACAAAAAAAATTGAGTAGGGAATGAAGGAAAAGTCATCCAGGGACCATCCCACCTTGGGATCTATCCTACCTGCAGACACCAAACTCTGACATTATTGCTGATGCTACGAAGTGCTTGTAGACAGGAGCCTGGTATAGCTGACCTCTGAGAGGATCTGCCAGCACCTGACTAAGACAGATGCAGATACTCACAGTCAACAATTGGACTGAGTCCAGGGACCCCAATGGAAGAGTTAGGGGAAGGACTGAAGGAGCTGAAGGGGATTGTAACCCCAATGGAAGAACATTATCAACTAACTGGACCCCCTTAGTGCTCTCAGGGCCTAAACCACCAACCAAAGAGTACACATGGATGGGTCCGTGGTCCCCCACTACATGTGTAGCAGAGGACTGCCTTATCTGGCATCAATGGGAGGGGAGGCACTTGGTCCTCTGGAGGCTTGTTTCCCCAGAGAAGGAGAATGCTGGAAGTGTGAGACAAGAGTAGAAGGGTGAGGGAGCACCCTCTTAGAGGCAAAGGGGAGAAGGGATGGGGTGGGGGGTTTGTAGAGGGGAGACTGGGAGGGAGACATTTGAAGTGTAAATAAATAAAATAATTTAAAAAATAGTTTCATGGCCTTTATTGCTTATAAAATTTATCGATTCCATTCCTTCTAGTCTTTAGTGGTCTTTTGCTATCAGGCCACTGCAGATTGCTCCAGTCTCACTCGTGATGGCCTTTTCTTTTCTCATCCAAGAATCAAGTCCTGGCATTCTTAGCAAACTCAGTGGCTGTTGGTCATGTGACAATGACCATTTGTTTTGTACTTTTGTTTTCAATCATATTTTTGTTTTGACCATGTAGTAGTTTCACTTGACTCATAAGTAGCAGCTTTCCATGTGAGATTCAGTTTCCTTGGCGAATAGCTTCTGTCACTGAGTTTTTCCACTCCAGAGCTATGCTGTAGAAACTGTAATTTATTGTTCTGAGTTGTATGCCTCTTTGTTGCTATATTAGACTTTTTTTTTAAGGGCAAGTACAAAAGTTACCTGTTTGATGGCATTTTGCATTTCCATTTTTGGTGTGATCCATGATACAGGCTGTCTAACTAACAGCTATTGAATTAAAGAAGGGTTATTCTTTCTAAGAAAGAGAAGGAAACTTATCAGTTCTTGTGATAAAGGCTGTAACATGACTTTCAATGTGAAGTGAGAATGTACTTTTCAGTGAGTATTCAGTTGTGCTAAAAGTTGTTCATGAACTCCAAAGGCCACCAAGGAGCTAACTCTGATGTAATTGCATTAGAGTCTCTTTATTACAAGCTCGAGCTTGGGCTCTCTTCCAACCCTGACACAGCAGGACAGTAAGATGGAACAGCCCCCGTGCCCTCATCAGGATAAGGTTTTATAGGGAATGGCAACCAAGCAAGGGGGTTTAAGCCAACAAGTGGGTGCTTTGAGGCAAAACCATGAACAATCAAAAATGGTCTGAAAGTACATCAGAAACAATCAGACTAGTCTTTGATTGACTTGCTAGGATGTAGCTAGGGAGTAACTCTGGGGTATGGGCCAAGGAGAAGTCATGGGGTCTTTCCTGGTACTTGGGTACAGCCTGGGTTCAGCTATAGGTCAAGTTTCTCTTAAGATTGAGGCTGGTCCCAAGATGGAATAGGTTTGGCCTCTCATTCCCTCCTTTATCTGATAACTAGAAGGCCCAATTGTGGGACTTCCTGAAGCTCATAGGCTTTATTATAGGGGGACTGGTAGTGACATTTTATTATCATAAACTGGATAGTCTCAAGTCTGTCTATATCAGCACCTATTGTTTGTCTCAGTCTATCATAACATTTGCTTTGTGACTTTAGGGAGGTTATCTCAGTATCAGTGCTAGCTATATCTAATCTCATGAAAACAGCTAGTAACAGGGCTACATCTTTATGACTCAGTTAATTTAGGCCTGGATGTTCTGGTGACCTGGAAGGATTGGATCATCATATTTTACATGGGGTCAGGGTTGTCACCACTAAGTCCTCATGACATCTCTGGGGCTTGGGTAGGGGCCTTATCAATGGGTAACAGGAGGGAGCCATGAGGCTGAGCTTCTCCCCACTGGTCTGGGTCGTCTTCAACTGCAAATGAGTCTGTGATTCGAGTGTTTGTGTGGTGGACCCACAATGTAATCTCCTTGACCCTTAGGGAGGTAGGCGTGGTCAAGATGATGACATAGGGACCATTATAACAAGGCTCTAATGACCTCTTGTGGTGTCTCTTTATTAGAATCCAGTCTCTGGGCCAGCAGTTCTGGAGGGGGACCTGTTTGATAGAGAGTATGAAGTTCAGGC